CTATAAATATATATAAAATATAGTTTAATCTTTCTTACCATATTACTTCATAAATATATTTATTTGTAGAGAAATCAATATTCACATGGTTAACCACGTTAATTCTTCTTCATATTTCATTAACCAAATTTCGACATCAAATGATATCTAAAAATGCACTTTGAGACGTCCCTCTTTTGTTTTGTTTTTTTTTTTCAATAAATGATTCATTTTTATAGATTTACCAAACTTGAAAAGCATAAAACCAACAAATGTAGCCCTGTTTTGTCATTTTATATATCCAAAACTCATTTTCAAATTTGTATGAACTAATCAAAACTATAAATTAAAGCTATCACAAGTAAAAACCTGAAAAATCATGAGAATGTGACTAACACAAATTTATATGCACCATCACCCATAGAATGAAAAAAGAGTTGTTATTCTATGAATCCTTACTATGTACGTTAGTAGTGGTGTTACAGTAGTAGTACTGAATGATGTTATAGTGAGTAGTGTATATTGACTATTTATTTGTGATTTTTGGTTTTGATAGTTACAGTTATTATTTTTGGTTGAAATATTTTTTGATCACTTCTTGGAACCCAAATTTAAGAGAAAAAAAGACCAGGAGCCCTTCTTTTGGGTCTGAAGTTTAACAATTATTTGAAAAGTCAGTTATTGCAAATTTTTAAACGACCATAACTTTTTCTCTGATTAACAGATTTGGCTTTATTATATATCGACTTGGGGTAGAAAAAAATTTCCAAGGCCATGACAACTAGCAAAATCGGTTGTTCCTTCTAGATTTTCACAAAAAAGGACATTTTCTATTTTTTTTCTCAATTTATTTTGTGTTTTCCAAACTTTGCAAGAATATTTCACATACCTAGACTTTGAATTTTGATCTAAAAATTTGTGTGGGGCTTCTCATGATTTTTTGGTGTTTTGGACAAATTTTCAGGTCATTTGGAGTTCTTTTGAATATACTCTCAGTTTTATCCTAAGTTTGGATGTATACGATGTATGAAAACAAACAAGTTCAACAATACCAACATCTACAATTTCAACCAATTTATAGCCCATAAAAACAAAAATGAAATAAAAAATCCAAAACAAAATTAACCTTCTTAAAGGTGGGTTCACTACCGGAATAAAGTGTTACCGCCATTGAAGGAGAAAGGAGAACACGCCTAAGGTCTAAAGAGTAACTATGCAAGAAACTCCATCAAAACGAAATTAAATCTTACCTAAGTAGTTAATCAACGTGTATTTTTTGTAAAATGAAAGAAAGATTACATGTCGAACGTTTCGTCCAAGAAGGGTTTAAGCAAAGGAGAAGATTTCGCACAAAGATAAAGTGAATAAATTTTCCCCCTCCCACCCAAATTTTTAATGAATTCACTAACATATAATGTCTGAAAAGTGATATTCCAACATTTTATAGCTCTTTCAAGTCAGAAACTGAGGCATTAGACATCATACATTAGTATATTTTCGCCTTTGCGCAAATGTTTTTATGAAATTTACCCAATATGATGTCAGAAATTGAGAATTCCGACGTCTAATGACCATATGATGTCAGAAAAGTATAAATTTTGACATCAAAATTGAACATATATTTACAAAAATACCACCAATCATTTTTTACTTTGGTTTTTTTGTATTTCAACGTTGAACGCGAGACGTTAAAGGCTTATTTTGCATGCCATTTTAAAGCATAAGGACTAGGGTGTATAGATGTCACCAAACCAAGTTTCTCTACTAGAGGTTTACTTGTTACATTTGTACAATTTCCTCCATCAATGATGAGTGAACACACCTTTCCCATAACCATACATCTAGAATAGAAAATATTTCTTCTTTGGATCTCATCTTCCTTCTTATTCATACTACTCAATATCCTCCTTACCATCAAAAGGTCTCCCTCCAAAGTTGGTACTTCACACTCCATGTTCCATAACTACTAGATGATTCAAATGATTTATCAGCGAAATGCTCACAAATGTACTCTCCATTCTCCAACAACATCATAGTTCTCCTATTGGAACATTCAACTGTTATATGTGTTGTACCCAAACATTTAAAACATTATTTTTGAACTAGAATGTGAAGAATCATTATTAGATTGAGAAATTACTTTACCACTTGAAGACTCCTTCTCCTTAGATTTAGGAATGGTAGAAGTAGCTCCCTCCTTCTTAGATTTCTCCTTATCGTGGATGACTTCCTGTAGGAACTTCTTCTCTTGAGTTATTGTTCCACTTTTGTGGCTTGACGAATAAGATCCTCCAAAGTCTCATAATGGTACATTTTCACCACATCTTGAATCTCCTTACTTAATTCATTCAAGAATCTGGCCATTGTAGTCATATGTATTTCTTTTATGTAAGCTTTCATCAATGTGACCTCTATCTCTTGGACATACTTTTCAATACTCCTATTTCTTTGTGTAAGTCTTTGTAATTTGTTGAAAATCACCTTTTTATAATAAGAAGGCACAAATATTTCCTTCATAACTACCTCTAATTTCCCCATGTAGAGATTGACGACTTTCTCCTTCTAGTTATGTTCATGGTAATTTGATTCCACAAATTCATAGCTTAGCCTTCATGCTTCAAGGATGCCATAATAACCTTATCATCATCTTCATAATCATAAGAGGTGAAGATTTGGTCAAACTTCATTTCCCATGCCAAGTAGGTTTCCGGGTCATTAGCTCCATTAAATTTAGGGATTATAATCTTCATCCACATCTTATCTCTTCTAGACATGTGGCTCCCAAAATCATCTCGTATTTGGCCCTTCCTTGGTTTTAAAAACGTACTCCTCTTCATCATTATGAGAAGAATGATTTGAATTATCATGTCTCATTTTCCTTCTCTCCGCTCCTTCACACTCACATTTTCATTAGACTTTTGAGTCTTTCAAACTACAGTTGACTGTGTTATTGTATTTGAGTCATTTGTAAGTTGAGTTTCTCAAGTACAACCATGATTATCATAGGTGATGAATGATCACTATTATGGAAAGAAATCATGTCCTGCAAGAAAATGTTAGTGATAACAATATATGTGTGTCTGTGGACTTCACCATTCTTCTACGTGTTTCACTCAAATTTTACTCGTGTATCATACTTAGAGGCTTTTTCTTAAATGTACTTTCTTACCTTTTACTATCTAAATTTTCTTTGGAATTTGGTAAAAATAGTTTAAGCAAAGGGTGAACAAACATTGTGAAAAACGTTGCAATAGCTAAATTTTGACTCAAGAGGTCAAAGAAAATACAAAACTCTAGACAAAACTTTAAGAAAATTATAAAATATACAAAACAATAAAATTAAAAAATAATAAGACTACCAAGAAAGATTTAAATGAGACATTGCAAAGACTCTAAAAAAAATATTGATGACAATAAACCACCAACAAAAAAATGCACTAAAGTTTGTGTTGAACTCTTCAATTTTTTTGTTTACTCTTGGATCTTACTTTTTCTTCTTCTTTTCTTTCAATATATATATTTGTTTCCTTTCAACTTAAATCCACTATTCTTTCTTTCTTTTTCAATTTTGCAGTTCAACCACAAACAAATAAAACTAAATAAATTGTTCTTTAAACACCAAAATTCATGCAAAATCAAAGTAAATATATAATTAACAGAAAAATCACTAGTACAAAATGGGCATACAACGTCTAACGCTCAATGTCGGATAACCAAGCACCCTAATGTTAAAAATGACCGATGAAAATATTGTAAATAAAATCACATGATTGACGTTGGTTAGAGGAATTGACGTTAATTGCCTTTTTCAAGTCTGTTGGTGAAAGAATAGACGTCTTTTAGTTTTCAAATTCATAAAAATTGAGCGTAAAAATATTTTAAGAGACCCATTAGACGTCAGTTGGTTAGAGGAACAGATGTTAATTGCCTTTTTGAAGTGTGTTGGAGAAAGAACAAACATCTTTTAGTTTTCAAATTCATAAAAAATTGAGTGCAAAAATATTTGAAGAGACCCGCTAGACGTTGGTTGGTTACAGGAACATACGCTAATGGCCTTTTTGAAGTCTGTTGGAGAAAGAACAGACGTCTTTTAATTTTTAAATTGATAAAAAATTGAGTGTGAAAATATTTTAAGAGACCCACTAAATGTTAGTTGGTTAGAGGAGCATACATTAATTGCCTTTTTGGAGTATGTTGGAGAAAGAATAAACGTATTTTAGTTTTCAAATTCATAAAAAATTGAGCGTGAAAATATTTTAAGAGACTCATTAGACGTCGGTTATTAAAAGGAACAAACTTTAATTTGAGTGTGAAAATATTTTAAGAGCGCGAGAAAGAACACTTGGTTCACTATTTTTGTGTGCACTTTCTTCATTGCAGGTCGAACGTCTTTAGGGAAGCTTTCGGCGATCACCAAAGGTAATGTTTCTTCCACTTAACACAAAAATTCGTTGATTGATAACTTTATATGTATGATTTCCTTTCATTTTAACTGATTAATTTCGTGCATAGACACCATTTGGAGCACCATTGAGTTCTCTTAGACGACCATCAAACGTAATATTTCTTTCACTTAACACAAAAAAACGTTAATTGATGACTTTATGTATGATTTCATTTCATTTTAACCAATTAGTTTCGTGCATAGACACCATTTGGAGCACTCTTGAATTCTCTTTTTTCCCTCTTCGGCAGTGGTTGTCTACTCCTCACCTTCACAGTGGCACATGTCTACTGCCTCACCTTCACGGTTAGTTTCATTTTTGATTTTTTATGTGTATTGGTTGTTGCATTCACTACTACAAATTTATTCATTACCGAAGGATTATTACCGAAGGCCTCTTACACCTCGGTAAAAATGACAATACCGAAGGATTTCCCGACGGTCATTAAAGTTGGTCATTACCGAAGGCTTTTGCCCTTCGGTAATACACACACGATTTACCGAAGGCTTTTGGCCCTCGGTATATGCATTCACTTGACAAAATCTGAATTTGGGATTTCCCTCGTCCATTTTCCAAATGCTTTTTGGGAAAGCTTCTCCCAAATTTTCACTCCCGTCCCCGCGCCACCGCCACTCTTCCTGGGATTTCCCTCTTCCATTCACCGGAACCGGACGTCCATGCACCACCGTCGAAAACGGCAACGCAGACGCCGTCGCCTACTTGCTCGACGCCGACGCGGACGCTACCGCGACGGCAGAGTCTCTCATGCCACCAGCAATCAGGTCGGGGAGCCTCGACGTGGTGAAGCTTCTGGAAGCTTCTGGTTGCGAAATCGTGGAGTCAGTTCTGCACGAGGCCGCGGCAACGGATCGAATCGACGTGATGGAGTTTCTGCTGAAGCATTGCGACGAGAAGTTGGAGGTGGATTCGGTGGACTCGGAGGGGAGAACTCCGATTCACGTGGCGGCGAGGGAGGGGCACGTGAGGGTTATCGAGTTCTGCGTCTCGATGGGAGGAAACCCTAATCGCGTGGACTGTAAGGGGAGGACCCCGCTCCATTACGCGGCGTGGAAGGGACACGTGAAGGCCGTGGAGTGTTTGTTAGAATGCTCAGACGTGAAGTGCGTGAAGGACAGGGAGGGGAGAACGGCGTTTTGTGTTGCGGCGGAGAGTGAAGAGTCCAACGCGCGCAGGCGTTTGGTGGATTTGCTGGGGTTGGGCGACGCGCTGATGCGTGCGGTGAGGGTTGACGATGTTCAGGGCGTGAAGAGGTGTTTGGGGGAAGGGGCGAGTGTGAACGGGAGGGACCAGAACGGGTGGACCCCACTGCATTGGGCTGCATTCAAGGGTCGAATAAAGAGCGTGAAGGTGCTGCTTGAACACGGTGGTGAGGTTGATACTGTGGATGATGCTGGCTACACTCCCCTGCATTGTGCTGCTGAGGCAGGGCATTTGCAACTTGCCCTCTTCTTGATCACTCATGGTGCTTCTCAATCACATCTCAAATCCTTTCCCTATCTTGCAGCTCACCCTCTTCACTTTTTCGACTCTTTCCAAAATCAGGTTTCTCTTCCTTCTAAATCTAACACACTCATGTATCACTGAATCCAAATCTCTGTTTTGTGTATATATTATGTGTAGTGTGGAATCTTCCTTGGTGATTGCTTGGTTGATGAACCGTCCCCAAGACCACGACCACCAGGACCACGCCGTCTTCCTCTGCCGCATCTGACTGCGAAGACACTCCTTCCCCGCATGGCAGTCCCCAGATCTGCCATCTTCACCACAGGTAAACACTTAGCTGATCTCTTGGTTATCAAATTCTTTGAGAAATATAGATAAGGACATTTAAATCTTGGTCTTTCTATGCTTAATTTGTGTTGATTGTGATTGAAGTAGATTAAGATGTGATGAAATTTTTTCTGAATTATTGGGTTGTTTGATGTGAATTAATTATGAAGGTGATAACCCTCAGACCGTGAAGACAAGTATGAGGCAGTGGGCTCAGGTTGTTGGATGTGCAGTGCGTCAAAGAAGCTGCGTGTGATTGATATAAATAGGCCTTCGGTAATTACCGAAGGCTTTTGACCCTCGGTAATTACCGAAGGCTTTACGCCCTCGGTAATTACCGAAGGTCAAAAGCCTTCGGTAATTGTTAGCGACAAGGGATTTACCGAGGGCTGATTGGCCGTCGATAAGCCGTCTGTAAATGGCATTTTCCGAGGGCTTTTGGCATTTTCCGAGGGCTTTTGGCCTTCGGTAATACCCTTTTTTTTTGTAGTGATTTTCATTGGTTATTGAACTTTTTATTGGTTGTTACTACTTCTAAAATTCTGAAAATTTTGTGGTGTATTATTGTGTTGTATATTGATTTTTCATGGTTTCAATGGAAGAAAATATCGACGGTTTTTTTTAAAAAAACCCATAAATTGATGATGTCAGACATAGAGTAATATTTGACGTCAATTTGCTCTATGTCGTCGGATTGTTCTATGTCTGATGTCAATTAACGTCAATTAACGTCAAATTGTTTAAATCCGACGTCAATTTAACGTCTCCCGATATGACGTGATATGACGTCGGTCTCTAATTCGACATGATAGGCCGAAAATTACCAACGTTATATGGTGTTTTTGTACTAGTGAATACAAAAATAGATTATTTCTACGAATCAAATGTAGAAATATACAATTTAAATAAAGAACACCTAAAAATAATTAAAACTCAACAAAATTGAATAAAACCTTAAGAGTTTTACTCCTTACAAAATTTTAAGAACAAATAACTAAACATATTTCAAAACAAGCATAAAACAATGAAATTAAAAAAAATTAGGATTTTTAATATGACAAAAAAATAAGATAAAAAGGAAATTCAAACAAGAACCTTGTTCTAAATACCAAATGATACCGTCTAGGGATACCAGATAATACGCTCTGGTGTATGATTTTATCCAAGAAGGAGTACAATTGCTTTGAATTTGAATCTTCAAGAGATTCAATAAGATAGGGATGTAGGATGCCACAACCTAGCAGATTGATAAGTCAAGTAAAGATTCTCCATAAAGATGTTAATCTTTGATAAGGATCAGAGTTCTAATCCAAGAATTAAGAGAATCCTCTCTCAAATAATGAAAATGTATATAATATGACTCAAAAGTCTCTATAAATGTATTTGGTGTTTTAATGTATAGACACAAATATTTAAGCAACCTACATAGTCCTAAAAGAAAGCCTAAAGATATTGGATCTAAAATATCTTGAAAATTAAAAATAAAAATGAATTGTTCACCCAACGAATTTACAAAATTAAAATAAATTATAGACACTTTAAACGCTTAAAATTTTAATCTATAAGAGTGCTCTAAGTTATAATGTTCACATCTTTTGATTTTTTAGTTATTTGTAGCATTACGAGCCTTGAATAGATTTGTTTTTCTAATCTTTTACTATTTGTTCTTGTAATAAGTTATTTGAATTAAAAATATTTATCTTTAAATTCTTCAGGGAATCCAAATATACTTTTCTGTCAATTTTTATGAAATTAAGTTTAGGTTATGTACTACACTGAAATTCTTTGTGATAAATTTATATACAAGACTAACAAACATATACCATAAAAGTTTTAATAATGAATACATTTTTAGTATCATATTTTTCAAACATTATAGAAATTTTATTGTTCAAGTCCAACAATATAATACATTTTAGGTACAAAGACGCAAATTGCTAATTGCACCACAAAGTTTTTGAAAACATTATGAAAGATTAAAAAATAACCGTGAAAATGTTGGGCCTCAGATATGAATATGAAATGAGAGAAGACTAAGTTGCACAACATGCTTCCCAACAATTTGCATTGAAAGATTGAAAAAACAAAAAAAGTGTAACGGTATTCCTTGTGTGATGACCTGGGAAGAATCTGGAGGTGTTAGAGTGAATAATGTATCAAAGTGTTAGAGTGGATACAAACAAATATAGAACAAGTAAAATAAAAGTGTATCATTATTTTATCTTGTGTGGTTAGTGTAAAACAATAAAAATTAGAAAAATAATTTTTTTTTATAAACTCAGTTGAAAACACTTATTATACATGTTTTCATTCTTTTTTTCATGATAACAAAAAATAATAAAATTATCATTATAATTATAAAAGTAAATTTAAATCATTTAAAAAAATTATTTTAAAATTATTTATTTTTTAGATAATGTTTTATTATAAATAGTTATTTTAGTTAAAAATAATAGTTAAATTTTAGAAAAAAATCAAATAAAAAAATAGTTAAGTTTAAAAATAAACTTTCACTTAAAAAATAAAACTGGTAAAAGAAATTTTAATTTAAAAATCACGATTAAAATTGAAAACAAAATATATACTCCAAAAGATGAATAATCTTTATATAACAGTGTAGATTACATTTTAAATTAAAAATTTTGATTTTTGTAAAAATGTTCCTCGGTATCATTTCCTATTCTTACGAAAATGTTTAAGTTAAAATATATATCTGTGTTCATATCCCCTCCTCCTACATCCATCACTCATTTCAACGATATATTTTTATTTACTAACAAAATAATTTATGTTAAAATATATCATAAGTTTATTTAAAATTTATTTTTTAAATTTGATGTGATATAAAATTATTTATTAAATTATTATAATTAATTTTATTTAATATTTTATTTTCAATCGATAATAAGATCAATTTGTTTAATTTTGATTCAGGTATTGCTAATCTTAAATAAGTTTTTATTATTTTTAGCATTGAAAAACTCTTCACAATTGAAAATGTCAATTAATTTATCATTTTTCAATCCTATAATTTTTTTTAAAATACTTAATTTTGCAAATAAATTCAAATCTATTAAAGTTCAACAAATTATCATTGTAACATCCCAAAATATAGCATAATACTATATCATAGATTAATCACATATAATAATATGATAGACCAATTCATATAAAGCTAGTAAAGTATTTTAACATTACACTTATCCAAAATAACCATAAAACTAAACTTTACAGAACAATATAAGTCTGATACCAAATATAGACATAAACCGAACGGTGATACAACACCTTGTATAAACCGATCGATTTACAAAATATAAACTAAACCTATTGACCGAACGGTCCAATCTAAAACTATACACAACTGATGACCGAGCGGTCTTAACCTAAGCAACAGGATCCTCGCCTTCCAACGCTTGCTCCACCGAACACTCATCGCCTTCTGCTCACATCCACAGGATGATCATTGCAAAAGAAAAGATAACCGGAAGGACAAAACAAGACAACACAAGAAAGTAGGGTAAGCTAATGTAATTTAATTATAAACACATATACATAATTCATGCAAGTTCAATACGTATGAAACCGAACGGTACATCATGCAAACACTGAATACAATTAATCACATACAAACTGAACACCACCATTCATATATATATATATATATATATATATATATATCAAAACCGAACACTATGACTTGACCATCCGGATGGTATGAATATGTAGCTACAGTCGCCTTGCACTTGTGGTAGTGTAACAGCTGACACCAATCAAGCTACTACCCAAGGTTAATCCCATAATACCTACCTCGGCACCCTGAGGTGGTAGGACCTCCTGCTATTCTCACAAATGATATACCTCTCTCTATGTGAGAATGATACTCAAAATTTCAGGATGAACGCCAGCTTAACATATCCATATTCATACTTTACAATTCAATAACCATACACGAGACATTCCGCCTTGGAATTCTCTTCAATAGTATTCAAAAGTCCAACATTCTCATATTTAACATAATATATCATTCATCAATTATATTTTCATTCACAGAATAAAGAGAACATGTGAACGTTGGAGACCGAACACCTTCACATTACCCAACCGAGAGAACCCAACGGTTCATAAGAGATAAAATAGAAGAAACTGACCGAACTCTGTTATTGACCGACCACCATAGAAACCAACTAGTAGGAACTTAACCCAACCCAAAGAGTTTAAACCACACACTCATAGCTCAAACCGAAACTCTTTAAAACCTATACCGAACATTATACTAGACCAAGTACTTAGAGATTATTGGATACTCTATCCAGACCAAACACTAGTTTAATATTAGAACACTGTGATTAGACCGAACGATCATAAATAAATAATACCTCTAATAGACCGAACCCAATTAATGACTAAGTACGTAACATCACCGAACGGTCAACAAAACAAAATTCTGAATAATACTCCTTAAACCAAAACAAGATATTTTTCTTAATTTCTTAAACTTCCAAACTTGATTTCTAATTTATTTTAAACCTATTCCACTGAACCTATTACACACTACTCACCACTCACATTTTCACATACTCTCTTCCCAAACAGAATTGACCGAACGTTTTACAACAGGAAACTCCATCCCAGTTCACATGTCTCGGCCAAACACATAATTTGAATACAATTCAATCAAACATACCATTATTCATACATGCAAGCGTACACACATCAATTCCAAACACAGAAAAATATAATTAAATCACTAGCTTCCCTTACCTTGAATAAACTAGGCACTTCCTAAGCTTCCACTACTTTGACTAATCAACAACCACTTCTAAAGCAACCTACTACAATTCCGATCGGCGAAAAGGGACCAACCAGAGGATCAAAGACAGAAACAGGTTCAGAGAGAGATAAATGAAGAACACATGCAAGCTAAACAGTGCGTGCATGTTCCATAAAATACCGAAACTTAAAAAGAAGAATGAGTTTACTTACCCACTTCACACAACAACTAGATTGATGGAAAAGAAACTCTTGCCACCAAGGAAGAACTCAGACACAACCTAGATGATAATTAGAAGAAGAAGAAAGTGAGGATTTTTAGAGAGAAGAAGGAGAATTGTAGAGAGAAGGAGGAGAAACTCAGAAAGTTTGGAGAGAAGAGGTGCATGCAAAAGTGGCTCAACGTTTGAAAATTTTACTTATATACTACCGTCAAAAACCGATCGGCCAATCAGCTACACACACCTGTCTTCCACTCTTTGAATTTTCTGAACCCTTTCACATACACCTGGTTTTCACTCACACTGAAATTAATGATTCTGACAATCATGTTTTAAAGGTTTTTCAAAACTTTCAAGTGCCTAAAATATTTATTTTTTAGGAAATCTAAATCAATGATTTTAATGGGGGATTTTTACAAATTTCTCAAATTTGTATCAATATTCTTTAATTGGCTTGAATCATATATATTTTCATCAAGTATAATCATCATATAGTATTTCAATCTTCTCCTCACTACCGTGAGTTTGAGAATCAAAATTATCCTCATCATTAACTATTATTTCTCTATTGTTGCTTTTACATATATGTATATTATTATTCTCTTATTCATTCAAAGAGCACCACCTGTAATTTTTAATTCATTTTTTGTATTCATTTTTATAAATTTATCCATAATTTTTTTTATGCAATTATAGTCTCAACTCTTATATGCTAGAGTTTTGCCTCAACTCTTCTACAATTCAAGAAAAAAACAACAATGAATCAAAAAGAAAAAAACAATGAATCAAAAAATAAATAAGAGAATATAAATGAGTTTAAGTAATGATTTCAATCCCTTCTATGAGTTTTATAAATATTTATATAATAGATATAAATATCTTATTAAAAAAGTTTCTCTTGAATACGAGTGTGTGAGGGGCTAACCAAGTAATTGTGCATCAAGTTCTCGTACAGAGGAGCTACCGAAGCATCAAACTCAACCATTATAAGCTTCACAGAAAGTAGACATATACGCTAGAATTTTAGGGGAAATAACCATAACTGGTACGTTGTTACCATAGAAGAAAAATTTAGTGGTATGAATTACAATAAATATAAATTTCAGATGATAATATAAATAAGTTTATATTAATTTGTCAATATATGTTACAAAAAAGGACATTACATATCCACAACGTTCTAAATTTTCTTTGACTTTTAAAATAATATAGTAATAATAATAATAATAATAAATAATAATAATAATGGAATAATAATAATAATAATAAAATAGTATTTATTATAAGAATAAAACAGTGTTGAGTTGTAGTCCTTTCCGTCATCTTTGTCATTCATGCTACGACCCTCACCATACCAATTACTACTTAAAAACAGTCCTTGCTTTTCACTTTGCTTCAGTGCTTCTTCTGCCCAAATCCAAACCTCGCAGTTCTTCATCATTTCATACTCCAATTCATCATTCAGAAACCTATCTCTCCTTCACAATCATTTTCCGCCCTTTCGTATATCCACAATGTCCAACTGCACTGTTTCTTCTTCCAACAGGACCACCGCTTTCGACCGTTTCTACACTCCTCCGCTTTTCCGAAAACTGCATCCAGACCACCGGAAAAAGTTCAATTCTGACTCGGTCCAACCGGATTTGCAAACCGCTTCTTACGAACCGGCATTGTCCCCCACTGCCTGTCTCAGTAATATGGATCGTCTTTTGGACGCATTCACACCCTCCGTCCCTGCTCACTCGTTCCGCGAGGTGCTCAATCTAATCGTTTAATTAACATGCTTTCATTTCTGTTCCTTGTTCCTTAGGCTACTGACTTTCAAATTTCATAATGCTTTTGCAATGTTTTCTAACTGTTCTTCTTCTTAATTTGAAAAATAAAATTGGACATGGTTGGTGTTTTAATTGCTTATTTTTTCACTTCCTATTGCTAACTTCTTGGCCTTGGCTTTGGATTGTGCAGCCTAAAATGAAGGGACGCCGAACTGGTTACTCCAGTACCAACAATAGCAGTGGACGCCTATATATTGTGCTCGAGGATCTGTGGGAATCCTACAGAGAATGGAGCGCCTACGGTGTAGAGGTGCCAGTAAGCCATGACGGAGAGGAGGAGGCAAAAATATACTATGCGCCCTCCCTCTCTGCAATTCAGCTATATGCTCAGGGGTAGTTTCTTTATC